AATGTAAGCGGAATCACTCAGCACAAGCAGGTTCTGCGTAATGACATCAAGCTGGCTGCTAAACTGATCCATGCACTGGATGACAGGGAGAGGCTGTGGAGCCACAAACCCAGAGAAGAGACACACACTCTTGAGGTATTCTCACTGCACAGCCTCAGACTGATACAATTTGAAATGGTTTTGACTGTGAGATTTGACCTATTATTGATTGTTTTTCAATTTTTTCTGATTTTTCTTATTCCCTGAAGCTCCCTGCTCAGAACCCCATTTTGAAGAACATCACCGATTACCTGATTGAGGAAGTGAGTGCAGAGGAGGAAGAGCTTCTGGGAAGTGCAGGAGGAGCTGACTATGAGGAGGGATCCAAAGAGGGAAACCCCACTGAGATAACTGTGGAGAGAGATGAAAAACTTGTCAAGGTCAGAAAACGTGTCATTATCGTTTGACCCCAAAATCAGGAGATGTAATACACTACACTATCCTACAACATATTTGTGGAATGAAATCCAGTTCTTCTTTCTAATTAATTTTGGAGTGCTGAATCCAACGAAAGTACCCTGTTTTCTTTAAGCACGTCTCACGCTTACAAAATAATACATTTTGTAGCGTTTTTGTTTTCGACAACCAAAGTTGAAGGTCTTTTTTGTGACCCTGGACCACAAAACCAGTCATAAGGGTTAACATTTTAAAATTGAGATTTATACATCATCTGAAAGCTGAATAAATAAGCTTTCCATTGGTGTGTGGTTTGTTGTGAGATACAACTATTTGAAAATCTGGAATCTGAGGGTGCAAAAAAATGTAAATATTGAGAAAATCACCTTTAAAGTTGTCTAAATGAAGTTCTTAGCAATGCATATTACTAATCAAAAATTAAGTTGATATATTTACTGTAGGAAATGTATAAAATATCTTCATGGAACATGATCTTTACTTAACATCCTAATGATTTTTGGCATAAAAGAAAAATCAATAATTTTGGCCCGTGCAGTTTATTTTTGGCTATTGCTACAAATATGCCGGTGCTACTTAAGACTGGTTTTGTGGTCCGGGGTCACATATTTTCCTTTAATGAGCAAAACTGCCACGAAGACATGATTCTGAAGACATTCCTAATCCTGATTTCCACTTTTGCATGTGTTTGTCCCATCCCAGGTGTTGGATCGTCTTCTGTTCTATCTGCGTATCATACACTCTATTGATTATTATAACACCTGCGAGTACCCGAGCGAGGACGAGATGCCAAACCGCTGCGGCATTATCCATGTGCGAGGGCCCATTCCCCCCAACCGCATTACTCACAGAGAGGGTAAGTGCTGCCTTTACTGCCAACAACCGGCTGTGCTTCGTTTCTTGAAGTGTGATTTAATTTATTGTTATAATTCTTTCTTGTATTCCAGTTTAATGTAGAGTTGATTATATAAGAAAGCCATTAGTTGGTTGACATCCTAAAGAGTGTAAATGCTGTGTCTGAATATTTCTGTCTAAAAGGTCAACTTCTGGCTCAACCGAGGGCCAACATTTTAGGATGGGATTAAATGTTAGTTTGCTGCAACTGCTAAACTGCAAAGGAATTACACTTCACCATTAAATAATCCCATGTAACAGAGAAATTAGCTGATTTTGTTGACTTTTGATCCTCTTGTAGTGGCTGACTGGCAGAAGACATTTGAAGAGAAGCTGGGACACTTGTTCAGTGTGAAGGAATCCCTGTCTGAAGATGAGGCAGCAAAGATGGGCCGCAAAGATCCAGAACAGGAAGTGGAAAAGTTTGTGCTGGCCAACACACAGGAACTGGGCAAAGACAAGTGGCTTTGTCCTCTAAGTGGCAAAAAGTTTAAGGTGTGTGATATAACATGCTGCTTTGTTCATCTGGTAGCCTTAGGCCCTGCAGGTTGAGTTAATAAAACAAAGATTATTGGAGTACAGGAAAATACTATTTCAGTCAATTTACAGTTTTTTTTGTTTTTGTTTTTTTGTGCAATTTTATTTGACGTTTCTTTGTAATTATTTGTCAAATTTACTAGCCATTTTTGAGTGAAAATTTTAAATCATAGTTGTTGTCTTTTTTTTTTTTTCCTAATCTTTTTTTTTTTCCAGTGTAGGGAGGGTTGTTCATTTTTGACAAAATCAATAAAAATATGAATCTCTCTCTAGGGCCCAGAGTTTGTGAGGAAGCACATTCTAAACAAACATGGTGACAAGATTGAGGAAGTAAAAAAAGAGGTCGTCTTTTTCAACAAATTCCTTATGGATGCAAAAAGACCCTCCATCCCAGAGATGAAACCTCCACCTCCTCCAGGCCCAGGACAGGGTAGAAAGCACATATCAATCTTGTTGATTTTGTATCGGAAGAAAAATCACATTATCGGAAGTTGTGAAACATCTCGCAAACATTTCTAATTTTTCTTTCTCTCATTAGGAGTGCTTTCACCGGGTGGTCTTCCATTCCCACCTCAGGGTCCTCAAGGTCTCATGGGTTTCGGCCAGCCCAGACCTCCAGTGATGGGTTATGGAGGTGTGTGTTTGTTCAAGTAGTAGAGTCAGAGTGAAAATTGTTGTTAACACGGGCTTGAAGCTTTGGCATTTTCAGGAAGTCATGATTGGGTTTTTCAACAGGGGTGCAACCAGTGTTGGGTGTAATTAGTTACTGTAATTTAATTACTTTTCCCTTGAAAAAGTAAAGTAAGGGATTACTCTTATTTTTCAGTAATTTAATTAGTTACTTATGTAATTGAACTTAATACTGTATAGACTGTAGAACATTTATATACAATACAATAGTGGATTTAACACCCAAATTTAAAGTCTAACCTTAAAATGCATGCTTTTATGTACCCATCTCACTTTAAATACTTTGGAATTAATAAGAATATTGGTAACACTTTAGTGTCCAATTCTCACTATTAACTAGTTGGTAATTAGCATGAATATTACTAGATATTGTTTGTTTTATTATTACTTAAGAAAGCACACATATTAATGTCTTATTCTGCAATGCCTTATTCAAAATCCTTAATCCTACCCAATACTTAAACTTAACAACTACTTTGCTAAGTATTAATAAGCAGTAATTAGGAGTACATTGAGGCAAAAGTCTTAGTTAATAGTGAGGATTATACTCTAAAGTATGACCAGAATATTTTTCACACCACTGTAGTTACTTGAAAGAATTAAAAGAACCGTTTCATGTCTATCCTTGTATCATTAACTTGTCGAGGTTGATATAGGATTTGGTAAGTAATTAGCAATAAGTCATTAAATACTTTTTGGAGAGAGTAATTTGTACAGTAATCTAATTACACGGTTGAAGATGTAATTAGTAACTAGTAATTAATTACTTTTTTAGAGTAACTTACCCAACACTGGGTGCAGCCAATAAACATTGATATATCTAGCCCTTTCCTTTTTAAAAAAAAAAAAATTATCTAAGCTTTGAAGCTTGCTCAAGTTTTCTACAGAATTGACAAAATAGCTGGGTTCCCACGGTCATGCCAAATTTCAGATATTTACGCATTCTAGTTAAAGTTAGTAAAGTTTTTTTTTTTTTTTTCTTTTTTGATTTGCATTGAATTTATGCAATGATAAACAATCAAAGCATTGTGGTGCATCTGCAAAACATATTTGTGAGGTATACTGAGGTGTTTCTTTGACACTTTAACAGGTGGTCCTCCTTACCCACCCAACCAGTATGGTGGAGGCGGCAGGGGCAACTACGACAACTTCCGTGGACAAGGCGGTTACCCTGGAAAGCCTAGAAACAACCGGTGAGTCTGTTGTATTTCAGTTCTATTTTAATTGTAGTTAGGGAACAGGCGTGATATTGTTTTAGAAGCTCTTGGGATGATAATGGACAAAATCTAATAAAATGTTGCTATGTCTTTTCCAGAATGATGCGTGGGGATCCTCGCAATATCATTGAATACCGTGACTTAGACGCTCCAGATGATGTGGACTTCTTTTAGAGCTCCAGTTTTATTCTCTCCGTTTTAATCTTTTTTTTTTTTTTTTTTTACCGTTGTCTCAGCATTTTCTTTTTTTTGCATTCATTCCAGAAGCTGCCCCTTACCGTCTTCTCTGGTACGCTCATATGTATTACAGTAGTGCTCCACCTGAAGTGAACGCATGTCCTTTATGTTGAACGTCATTGCATACTCGGTGTTATAGATATTGAGCTTGTGCTTGTGGCCTTTTTTCCAATAAAACTTTGATTTGGATCTTTTTGTGTGCTGTATTGGTTTTTAAATAATTAAATTTGATTTACATTTTTTTTTATTTGAATTACAGTGATTTATATCTCATTTAAAATAACAACAACAAAATCATGTTTACAAAGCACTTGCAATGGAAGTACACTGTTAGCATTGCACAGGGGCTTAAAAAAAAATCCTTCACTAGGTGGATGAATTCCTGCGAGTGGAGTTTGTTCTGTGTAAATGGTTTCTTTCTGGTACACACATTAGTTTTGTGCATTATGAAAGGTTCTCCAGTGTTTCATGGTTGAGACTAAAGTTGAAGGGCTGGATATCTTAAGAAGTACTAAAGAATAATTTTTAGTATATTAAGTACAACATTAGTACTTAAAGTACATTATGGACCTGGGAAACCCCAAAAATGCAATAAACGGTATAAACAAGTTTATATTAAGACATTATTTAGTGAATTAGTTTTTTTTACATTTTTCATTATATAGTGAATTTGTTCTTATTTTCAGATTTTAGTTTTATTCATTTTGTTTTGTTTTTAATCATTTATATTGGTTTTTATGTTAATTTAGATTGTAGTATTTTTTATTTTCTATTTTATTTATTTTCAGTTTTACCCCAATCATGCTAATACCTCCAAAAAAAGCAGTAAACAGCATCAACAGAAGCTTGCCTGTTGTGCACATTCCCGTCCCACGCCTCCCAGCTAATCATTACAGCTCTTGAACAATCGTTACACCACTTACTCTGGTAATCTCAGATTGCTTTCACACAACTGAATCTCTCTGAAGAAGCATGGCGGTGGAAGAGGAAGCCGGCAGACCCACATGGAGCAGGCAGATTGAGTTCACTCTGGCTGGGATCGGCTGCGCTGTGGGTCTGGGGAATATCTGGAGGTTCCCGTACCTGTGCTACAGGAGCGGTGGAGGTAAGACACAGACCAGTTAACTAATGTTCCTCATCACTTACCGAAAGTACCATGTTTTTTCTCCAAACATCTTAAACTAGTTTGCTGGTTCTGGTTAGTGACCAGCACAACTGACAGTACAACCGGCTCTGAATCTGGTTCGAAGATGTTTTTTCTCCTATGATTAATGTACCAGGTTATGACAACTTTTATTGGACCTTTGGTGTGAAAACTGGCATTATGAAGCCATGCATATGAAAGTCCTAACAATGACAGAGTTTATCTTCTGTTGTTATTTAACATTTTCAGCTTTATATTTCAGACTGTTAAAGAAATATCACGTCAACACATGAAAATGAGAGCGTGCCAGTAGATGAATGTGTTTATCTGTAACTGTAACGGCGTGTAAGATCAACCATGACTCTGCAATCCATCTCAGATCACGTATTGCTATAATGTTTGCGCGTAACTAATGTGTTATTCAAATCAAACAAGGGAGAGTAGATCAAGAGATGGTGACTGATTCAGAATTTAAAAATATATTTTCATATTTACATTTTTATATTGACAATAAACATTTATATATTAATAGTTATAATGTAACTATATATTCAGATTTGCATCTATGTATTCAAATTACAATTTACATTTATATATTGACAATTATAACTATATATTCAGATATATTGTTTGTTTTTAAGATTTACATTTATATATTCAGACATAACTACATATTTTGATTTACATTTATATATTCAGATTCACATTTATATATTTACAATTTACATATTCAGAATTATAACTATATATTTAAGTTTACATTTATATATTCAGAATAACTGTATATTGTGATTTATATTTATGTATTCTGATTTGCATCGGCATCTGCATTTGCAGTTATAACTATATATTTGTATTACATTTATATATTCAGAGTTATGGTTACATAATCGGATTTACCTTTTCATATTCCATTTTAACTACAAATTTGGATTTACATTTATATATTTTAGTGCTATCGAACGATTAATCGCGATTAATCGCTTCCAAAATAAAAGTCTTTGTTTACATAATATATGTCTGTATACTGTGTATATGAAAAATAGGTTATGTTTATATATATATATATATATATATATAATTATATGAATATAAAAACTATACTTGTAAATATTTTCAAAATATTTACTGTATGCGTGTGTATTTATATAAGCATAATAAATATACACAGTACACATACATATATTATGTAAACAAAGACTTTTATTTTGGATGCCAGCACTAATGACAGTTTGACAGCACTAATATATTTACAATTAACATTTATATATTCAGTTATAACTATAAATTTGGCTTTACATTTATATATTTACAATTTATATTTATATATTCACAATTATAACTATACATTTAGAATAATGTTTATATTCAGAGTTATAACATATTCACAATTTACATTTATATATTAAGAGTTATAACTATATATATTCTGTCTTACATTTTTATATATATATATATATATATATATACACACAATTTACATTTATGTATTCAGAATTATTACTATATATAGGCCTATTTGTATTTACACTTTTGAATTCACAATTTAAAGTGCCCCTACTATGGGTTATGAAAGGTTCATATTTTGGTTTTGGGAGTCCGTGACGCTAATCTGCGGTGATTGGTCCGATTGGTCTCATTTTCATTTCATTATGCCTGTAATGCCTGATAAAGCAGCATTTGTGAGCGCAGTGCTGCTTTGTGGACAGTGTTACCGGGGAAACCGCTATTTTTACCGCTCCAAAAGCAGACCAACAAGTGGGCGGGCAATATGCTAATGTTTCATGTTGACGTCAACATGAAACGGCTTGGGATTCGTTTTAAAAACGACTCGTTTCAATGATTCAGAGTCGACTCTTTCTTTTGAAAAAAGAGACAATAATTTATACACGTTGCACTCTCAGATTTAAAACTTTGCAGGATGTTTTCATTGACTTCGAGCTGTGTTACACACTGCATGAAAGGTAATTTTCAAAAATCCATAATAGGGGCACTTTAAATTTATGCAATCTAAGTTTTAACATATATTCATGATTTAGATTTAAATATTTAGAATTTTGACGTATATTTACATTTCATATGATTATTTCCTGTTTGTTCTATATATGTGTGTGTGTGTGTGTGTGTGTGTGTGTGTGGAATGTGCAGTAAATCATATATCAAGAGAATTGGAATGAACACATTTATTTTTCAAACTGGATGCCAGGATGGTATGCATCTCTCAGTTAACTGTTGACGTGTTTATTGACGTCGTCAGGTGCGTTCCTGGTGCCTTACCTGCTGATGCTGGTGGTGCTGGGGATCCCGCTGCTGCACATGGAGCTGACGCTGGGCCAGTATCTGAGGAGGGGCCCCGTCCTGGCCCTGACCAAAGCCTGTCCCCTGCTGAAAGGTTACAGTGCATAAATACACACATAATCATGGCATGAGATTAATTTCAAGTTTAATGCTGTTTAATGCTGTATACTGACTTTCAGATCCATATAGACAAAATAGCATTGTCGCTGATAATGATAAGAGGATATGAGAATATATTACTGACTCAAGGTCTGGTTAAAGGTCAGTAACCAGTAATAAATCTATCCAGGTGTTGGCATGGCAACGGTGGCCATCTCTTTCATCATGTGCACATACTATAATGTCATTATCACATGGGCGCTGTACTACATGTTCAGCTCTTTTCAGAGCGAGATGCTCTGGGATAACTGCAACAACACATGGAACACGGCCAACTGCACCGACCGTGTGACCAACAGCTCCTCGTCCTCCACCACCAGCCAGCAGTTCTTCAAGTGTGTTCATACGCTCTTCTTGTTAAAGCTACACTATGCAACTTTTTTTTGTTCAAACATGATTAAATGGTGAGCGAGTACATCATGCCAGTTAACAAAAATATGATCCAAGAACCTTTTTTTTATGTTCTCTGAATGTTTCAAATATGTGTGTTTTGAATGTTAACATTTTTTTTTATTGGTTATGTGAATGTTAGAGAACATTTTAAGGGAATATTCCATTTGTACACATTTTGGGAATGTCACTTCTGAATATTCTCTGAACATTCTGAATCTTGTAACTTGTATTAATGTTTTCTTTAAAAAGTTTGAAGAACATCCAACTAAAATATTCAGAAAAAGATTCCATGAAGGATAAATAATATTTAGGTGCTAAGGAGAACGTTGTTAAAGACAAGATAACTGTTCAGTTCTATTTACTTTCCTGGAAGAATGTTTATTCATAATTTTTAAAGAAATCTTGACAGAAGGTTAGCCAAAGTTCTGAGAACATTCCCTGTTAGCTGGGATTACACCATCTTCCAAACAGTGCTTTGCCTTACCCTAAATACTAGAGTAAGCTTATAATAACTACTAATATTTTAGAGCTGTCAGGACGGATTTCCCGGGAAATAAAGGAAAGAAGGGCACGCTACTACTACTTGCGTCACAGTAGCTTGAAGTTACAACAAAGGAATCTCTAACCTAAAAGGGGAAGCGCACGTAATAAAACACGAATCAACATAGTTAGCAAATTGGTCTATTTTCACAAAACAGTGTTGCCAATCTCCAAACCAGTTACTCCTTGGCCTATTTGCCTGTAAACAGCCTCGCCAAATTATAGGCTAACATTTTCAACCATTTTACCATATCTGATACGAATAGCAATCGATATGTCTAAAGTCAGCCAAACGTTTCTAACGTTATTTTAAAGCAATTGTTTTAGTCAAAACAACAGTAATATATATGCTACCTGATCATAAGATATTTTCGGATGTTCATCTTTATTTCGAGAATTTCGATGTCGCTCAAGCCATCTGATACATCCGTGCAGAATAGCGGAGCCAAAGCACAACTGACCAAAACAATGTTCCTCCGCAAGTAACTATTTTTTCCGCTTCAACCGCTACATAGTGTTACATAGTGTAGCTTTAAGTTATTGATTTGTTAGTAAAGTTTGTGGTATTGATTGCAGTGGATGTGTCGGCTCTGTTAGTTATAAGGTGCTGGAGAGGACCAGTGGTGTGGAGGAGACGGGCACCTTGAGGTGGGAGCTCTTCCTCCTGCTGCTGCTGGCCTGGATCCTCGTCTACCTCTGCATCTTTAAAGGAGTCAAGTCCACTGGGAAGGTAAGACGAAAACAGTTGGAGAATGCATACATTCATCATTATGCTGGTCAGAGTCTGAATGCAGTATCATGCCGGTTTCTGCAGATGCATTGATGCAATTCATGAATCTTTTTTTTTTTATTGAAAGTTAGGCTGCACTGTGTAAAAAAAAAAATATATATATATATATATGTATATATATATATATATATTTTTTGTAAATAAATAAAAGATTAGAAAAGGTTAGAGAAGTATGTTTATTTTTAGTATGTTTATATTTATTTTAGTGTGAAAAAAATGGTTACACTTTATGTTAAGGTGTCCTTGTTACTGTGTAACTATACATTTAAATACTGAGTAATATTAATTAACCACAAATACTTACTATATGGTTAGGATTAGGGTTTCGCTTAGGGTTACTTGCATGTAATTATGCATAATTTATTGTTATTATAATAGTAAGTACATGTAACGTGTAACAAGGATACCTTAAAATAAAGTTTTACCAAAAAAATTAAATACAAACTAAGTGATAAACAAATCAGAAAGAAAAAACAAAACAATAAAAAAGCAGTTCATGTATCAGTGTGTCGCAAAAATATTTAGTAATTTATGCAAAATAATTTCTTTATTTTGGTTTGAAACATCACCCGGTCATGTTTTTTTTTTGTAGATTTACCCATTTATGTGTTAAAATAAAGCAATAAGCCCCAAGAAAAAACTTTAATTTCATTTATTTAAATTCATAAATTCATTCATAAGCCCCGTGAAGCCGTGGTTTACAGTGAATTTATAACAGCTAAGGGGCGTTGTTAGACACGATGCGAAGCGTCAAAAATCTGATTTTGGAGTTTGACAATGAACACATTGCAACCATGCTTGGGACGGCCCACATAACCGAGCCAAAATGCTTTACATGTCTTGAATAGGGATGTAACGATTCACTCAACTCACGATTCGATTCACAATTTTTTTGTGTGAATTACATCGCTAATGTCATAGAATAGCACATTGTAACGCAGTGCTACAACATACCCCATCTGCGCAACTGGAATTTAAAAACGAAGCATTAAAAAATCATCTAAACTGATAAATAACAGATTGGAGATTAAAATAATAGCAGATTTGTCTCATTTTAAATGAGTAATAAAAACGGAGATGAAAAATTTACTTAAGCCAGAAATATAATTTTATTATGGTAAAATAAATGTTCAGCGATATCTTCAAAATACTTTTGAATTTTGGCGTACTTTTGTTTTTCTCTATATAATGTTGATATGGTAACTAGTAAATGCTGTAAATTTGGTTATGCTAGCATGTGTGGAAATATTTAACTTACGTTATGGTTCAAACAAAGTGGTTGCCGAGCAACACACAGAAGTAAACAAAGGTGTGTGTTTGTAGAGTAATTTACAACAGCTTCGAACGCGGCTCAGCCAATCAGAATCAAGCACCGGAACTCTCCGTGTTATAATAAAAAAGTTAAATGTCTTTTTCTGATTTTCCATATACCTTTATTGTAAGTGTATCTTTGTCTGTGCGTCACAGGTGGTTTATTTCACCGCTCTGTTTCCATACGTGATTCTTCTGGCTCTGCTGATCAATAACGTGCAGCTGCCGGGAGCCATAGACGGCATCCGCTTCTTCATCATCCCTGAGTGGGACAAGCTGCTCAGTGTGGAGGTGGGTACCAAGATAAATGAGAAACAGGCCTGGTAATATATTCAAATCATTTCTCATTGAAATACTAGGGTTTTTTTGGTAGTCAAAATAATTAGTTTGGCAAAATTTCAGTGCACTTGCTATTATTTTAAGGAAAGAAAACAAATGCATGCAAAATAATTCATGCTCTTGACTCCCATTTTCCGTATTTAATTAACACCATAAATGAGCATGCTAAATGTGGTAGCCCTAGTAAAAACTAAACTGACTGCTGAGAGAACACATTGATTTTCAGTGTCCGTGTGCTGATTGTCATTCGGCTCTACAGTACATTGTTTGGCCTGTGTTTTATATTAATGTTGTGTAATGTGTGTGTTTAGGTTTGGATTAATGCAGCAGCTCAAATCTTTAACTCCATTGGGATTGGCTTCGGCTCGCTGATGGCGATGGCCAGCTACAACTCCTACAACAACAATATCCTCAAGTAATATAGTTTAAAGACTTTTTTTAAAAACAAGAAATCTTGTTGCATACAACATACCATCTTACGTCCATGCACAGAAAGTTGTATAAAAAATAGCAAATCGAGTTGTACTTGCATATCTCTGGAGCAAAGAGTACTTTGATAATCGATTTATTGTGCTAATGAATTTATATTGCCATGCATTTTATGTGAATTTAACGTTATGTCATCAGTGTTCAAAGAAAAATAATTTAATACACTACGATTTAACACTACATTCTATTGATTTTTCTTCTCATAGTCATAATTTGTGTTCCTGTGTAGAGACACTCTGGCCATTTCCATCACTAATTCCCTGACTAGTATATTAGCAGGATTTGTCATTTTTTCGGCTTTCGGCTACATGTCGCACCTTCAGAATGTGCCGGTCAGTGAAATCGCAGTGGACGGTGGGTCATTTTAATGTTTAGTCTTTTACTTTGTTGTTTGTATCAAAGAACTGAGCTTTTATTGTTAAATCTGCTGTGCCTCATAATGATCCTCCATGCAGGTCCGGGTCTAGTGTTTGTGGTTTACCCACAAGCCTTTGTGACGATGCCCGTCGCTCCTCTGTGGGCCGTTCTCTTCTTTTTCATGCTACTCTGCCTCGGCCTGGACAGTCAGGTATGATGAGAAGAACACTCACCTGTCATTTTAACTGGTTAATGTGGCCAACACAACACTTATGAATCGCAGTCTGATCAAACCGTGTTATATTAGGCTGATATGAGGCCACAACAAAATTATAAACGCAACACTTTTGTTTTTGCCTCCATTTGTCATGAGCTGAACTCAAAGATCTAAGACTTTTTCTATGTACACAAAAGGCCTATTTCTCTCAAATATTGTTCACAAATCTGTCTAAATCTGTGTTAGTGAGCACTTCTCCTTTGCCGAGATAATCCTGGCCCCCGGACCCCCCAATACAGTAAAACTGCACATTTTAGAGTGGCCTTTTATTGTGGCCAGCCTAAGGCACACCTGTGCAATAATCATGCTGTCTAATCAGCATCTTGCTATGCCACACCTGTGAGGTGGATGGATTATCTCGGCAAAGGAGAAGTGCTCACTAACACAGATTTAGACAGATTTGTGAACAATATTTGAGAGAAATAGGCCTTTTGTGTACATAGAAAAAGTCTTAGATCTTTGAGTTCAGCTCATGAAAAATGGAGGCAAAAACAAAAGTGTTGCGTTTATAATTTTGTTCAGTGTATTTAAAAAAACTGCAATATATTGAAACATATTATTTAAATTGTAAAGTATGTGTACATCATGGTAGTATACTGCCTTTCATTTATGCTAATTTACATTAAAAAATTGTATTATAGTAATGAGAATCTAATGAAAACCATCACTGGAAATAATGTGAATTACAGAAAAAAACAAAACAAGCAAATAAATAAATAAATTGATTTTGTATTATTTTCATAACATTTAAGCACATTGAAAATGCATTATTTAATCTGTAAAGCATGCATGCATGATGGTAGTATACCTGCCTTTAATTCATGCTAATTTACATGAAAAATGATAGTATGAGAATCTAATGAAAACCATCATTGGAAATAATGGGAATTATAGAAATACTAAAAATAAATAAGAAACCTTAATGGTCCCAACAGACTTCATTTTCTATCTGCAAAATATTATTTATATATTTGTTTCTTTTCATTTCGGGGTGAAATGAACCTGGACATGTTTTCATGAGGATTGTATCATGACTGAAAACAGATTAAAGCTAAAACTGTAACATCTGTAATTTATAATTCATGAAATGCGAGCTGTTCATTCACTTTGTTCATCTCACTGTCATGAGAAAACATTAAACTACACATGCACGAATGTAATGCAGTTTGAATAATTTCACAGAAAACACATGGTTAAAGTTTAGCTTCTGTGGTTGTGTTTGTGTTCTGTAGTTTGCCATGGTCGAGGTGATGGTGACCAGTCTGTTGGACAGCTACAGTAAACCCATACTCAAGTACCTCAAACGCAAGGAGTTTCTTGTGCTCGTAGTCTGCAGTGCGGCATTCCTCCTGGGCATCCCTAATGTCATGCAGGTTACCAGATTTTATTTTATTTTATTTTAAATACAGATTTTTTGTTTTTATAGTATTTTATATTTTTTTATTTTTATAATATTTAATTGTATTTTTATTAGATTTTATTGTGTTTTTAGCTCACTATTAAAATAGCTTACAATTGAGCAAATATTTAGTATCTAATATTTTTTGTTTGTTTATTCTTATTGCTATTTCTTTCTTCAAATAAATAACATTTGCTTCATTTTTCACATTTGCATTCTTTGCATTTTGTCTAATGCAATGATATTAATTGTGACTTCAATGTCCAAATATCTGCAAATGTCTTTGCATTACATACAAATGCTGCATGTCTGAAAAAATATAATTTAAATAAATAAATAATAGACCATGGTCCCTCAGGCTTTATTTTCTATATGCCAAATAGATTTTTTTATTTTTCATTTTGGAGTCAAATGAACCTAGACATGTTTTCGTGATTAATAATTCATGAAACAGAAGATCAAAAGATCAATCAAAGAACAAAAGATCAATCTAATGCTGCATTTGATCTTTTTTTCCTCACTGAAGTTCTTGTTTGAAGTCTCACTGTTTGGGCTTAATTGCTACATTTCTTTCAGATAGATGACATTTGCATTAATATGTTATTTTCTAATGCAACGATATCAAGTGTCCAAAATCTTTTTCAGTTATATTAATTAAAAAACATTATGAATGCAATTATGGCTGTAAAGCGAGTAGGTATTATGAAAAGGTTCAGGTGAAGTTCTGATGAAGTTAATGCCTGTCAAACTAACGCTGATCTTTCTGCTCAGGTGGGGATCTATGTTTTCCAGCTGATGGATCATTATACTGCTATCGTGTCCATCATGTTCCTGGCGTTTTTTGAGGTGGTTGGTGTCTGTTGGCTCTACGGTGAGAGACAAACATCTGATTGATATGTGTCTGTCTCTATTGACATAGTGCCACTTTTGAGCTATTTCATCAAGCATGGAACAGAATTGCTAAATGTCTCATTTTAACAGGCGTAAAGCGTCTGTCCAGTAATTTACTGGAGATGACAGGAAAGAGACCCAACATTTTCTTCAGGGTCTGCTGGTGGGTCATTTGTCCTGTCTTGATAACCGTGAGTGCGATCATCCCACTGTTCCTGGTCTGAAACCCCAGTCTGGATTGGTGTTAGAATTGAAATGTGTTTCTGTGTCTCTCAGGTTATCCTGGTGTTCTCGGTGATTCAGTTTGAGCCAGTGCGGTATGAGGATTACATTTACCCGGCGTGGTCTCAGGGTGTGGGATGGCTCATCGCTTTGGCCTCCATCATCTGGATTCCTCTAGCAGCCGTGCACACGCTCTGGCTTCTGCCCGGATCCTTCACTGAGGTACTTTATGGCCTCTCCGTTTATGCTTTGGAAGGGAAATGTCATGGGTTATTGGCTGGAGCCATTGATATAGACGTCCGTTCAGACATTTGGGGTCGATACAATTTCTAATGTTTCTGAAAGAAGTCTCTTCTGCTCAGCAAGGCTGCATTTATTTGATCAACAATACAGTGGAAAAATGTGAAATATTATTACCATTTTAAATAACTGTTTCCTGTTTAAGCATACTTTAAAATGTAATTTATTCCTGTGATCAAAGCTGAATTTTCAGCATCATTACTTTTACTCCAGTCTTCAGTGTCACACGATCCTTCAGAAATCATTCTGATTTGCAGCTCAAGAAACATTTCTGATTATTATCAGTGTTGAAAACAGATAATATCTTTGTGGAAACCGTGATACGTTTAGTTTTTCAGGACTCTTTGTTGAATAGAAAGTTCAAAAGAGCAGCATTTTTTTTTTATAGGAATCTTTTGTAACACTATAAATGTCTTTACTGTCATTTTTAATCAATTGAATGCATCCTTGGTGAATAAAAGTTGGATTTTGCATAATAATTATACCGGTTTAGTCCCTGATATGCAGAATACATACTTGCATAAGTATTTATAAACAAAACTGCCAATGTAATTTACTCAGCAATCAAAGCTAATTTTGTGAAGATAATTTCATAAAGATAAATACTGACATCATTTTTACATTAAAACTAATAATCAAGTCATTTAAATCAAAATGAATAATTAAGTATTGCATATTATTAAATATTCAGTGAATAGATTGAATTTGTTGGAAAAAGAAATATAAAACAATGATTACTAGAGTTTTTGTACTTCAAGATTTCATGTGTAACTCAGTGCTACTTGTCATTTCTTTGTAATTATTTGTGAAAATTACTAGCAATTTCTGAGTGAAAATATTTTTCAGTGTAGGGATCGTTTGAAGTTAAAGAACCAGCCAATTAAAAACCGATTTGGGCCTGTTGTGGGAAAATATTTGAAATGAAATTGCAAACATTTTTGTTTCTTATATGCAAGCCCTTCAACACTGGATCGGTGAAGACTGAAGACTGTGAAGAGTGAAGACTGATCTGTGCTTCTTTCTTTTGTTTCAGAGACTAAAAAAGTCCATCACACCGTTTTCTCTGGACGATGACTCCGAGCAGAAAGGAGCCATTGTCATCAGCTCCATCGTACCTCTATCTGACAAACCACCAATCCAGACTAATTTATGAACTGCCACTGGATCACTGGAACAGGCCTAGACCAGACCGCAGACTGATCAAAACCAGCAACACATCTGAGGATTATTTACTGGATCAGTGGAAATCTGAAATATCGGCCTAAATGTGAACTTTTTTTTCTACAGGATTCATCTCATATGTCACAGAAATAACCTCTTTAGGGTAGGGTAAGACACAAGAGTCATTTTTGTGCCCATAATGCTTTTATTCTCATCAGCAGATGTTTGGTTTAACCTTTATGGGCGTGATGACTGAACAACAGTCTGACACGAGATAAACCCTCGCTCAGGCAGGGTCCATGCAGTGAACTTCACCCTCAATGCGCTCAACGACTGGCCCCTTTGCTCTCCTTTACAGCGGGAGCTCCTTATTTTGGACATCTTCAGTTTCTTAAGCGTTGAAAGCTGACATTCATGCGAATTCAGAATTAATTCATGCTAAAAATATACAAACCAAATACTGTTAACATTGGTAATAGTTCATGTGGATTTATACATTATAACAGGTACATTTCAGAATACCTTCAGATTAAGACTGTGTTCTTTGCTCCCAACCTGCTGTAAATTTACGGCTAAGATCCCAATTCAAATGAGCGAATCTCAAGAAAACGTACATATACATTTCATTTTAAAACCAAAAGAAATCAGAAAACTATGCCTCTTTTTAGGAGCATAACGATTTTTCATTGTGACATTATTTTAATTACAGTTAAGCACATTAAGTAATTGTTTTACAGCATTACATTAAAAAAATTACTGTAATAAAATTATTTTAATTTAAATCTGCATAAAGGCAGTGCAACGATATTAAATACTCTACATCTGAAATGTAGTTATAATGTAGTAATTTGTTGCCATTTATTAGAAATCAAAGAAAAAAACAAACAAATAAAATATGCTTAAAAGCAAACAGGTAATATAATAGTTTTATAAATACTCTATTTTAATAGTCTTTTTGGATTATGGTAATGAATTGGGGGAAAATAATGTCACAAAGCACACATATTTGTCATTGTGACATTATTGTAATTACAATTAAACACAAAGTAATAGTTTTATTGTATTAAATAAACACATTTTTTCAATTTAAATCTACATAAAGGCAGTGAAACAAATACTAAATACTAAAATATGTCGTGTTTTTTACTGTTAAAAAAATGATTTAAAAACAAAACACGCAAAAAGGCAAAATGACAAATGCTACCATTATTTTTAAATACCCAATTTTAATATGATTTTTTTTATTTTTTTATTAGACAAATGAGAATTGTTTTCTTAATTGTCATGAAAATAATGTCACAAAATATCTTAATTTTATTGTGAATGTGAACTGGACAATTTCTAAACAGGTTTCATGATATTCAAGTATTGAATTTGATTTATTTCATGTAATTTAATTTAAGTTTCCACTGGTGAAACGAGGGGTAGTTTCCCAAATATGAACAATATGAGAATTTGAATAGAAAAGAAACAAAGAAATCAAGTTTTGGTTTGTTTTGAGATGTAGAGGCGACATACAGCAAAAAGTAAAGGAATTTATCCATAATCAATAATCATAATCACGTTTAATCAATAAGAATTAATTATATCAACTATTATTTCTTTTCAAGTCCTCACTACAGTGTTTCCATACTTATTTTCCAATGAAAGAAGCCAGTGTCGTACCTTACATTCAGTGAAAGTTCAATGTAAAACCAACATTTCTCATTCGGTTTCAGATTCGGAGTGCGACTCAAACAGGTTTCTTTTTCATGAAAATCCTGCACTGATTTCGTTTCAGTGCTTCAAACGAACAGTAGCTGTTGTAGGTATGAGAACCACATCTACATACAATTCAAGTTAGAATACTCATGAAAAAATTAATACAGTAATTAACATCACCTCAACCGGTGCTGTGCCGAATTCTGCACCCCTGCCAGATTATGCACCCCCTCGTTGAAGTCACTACCTGATTGCCTAATCCCAACCCCACCCCTAGTCCTAACCCCTCCCGCACACCTACTCCTAAACCTACCAATACTAGGGGGTGCATAATCTGGCAGGGTGCAAATTTCGGCACTACACCGGCACCGAGCGACTGTTTCTTATCGTCACACTCTTAAAACTGATATGTAATATGACCTAAAAAAAAAAAAAAGACCAAAAATGATTGCAATTCATGGCGTACTGGTCTCGGTATAACCGGTCTCACTTGACCGTATCAGACAGTAACACACATTAAATCTTCGTTCTTTTGTTCCAGTTTCTGGCATTGTGTGTTTTTAGAAAAGCCTGAAAGTTTCCCCTTATATTTGAGACAGCAGCAGACTGTGTAGGCTACATCTGTGAATTTCAACGCTGTCGAGGGTCCGAGCGTTGCGTCAGATCGAGCCACACAGCGCCGCCTTCTCCGATTTGATCTGATCTGCAAACCCAAACCAATTCCCTTCAATCAGTACTTTAAAACAAGGTGTTATACATATTTTTGTCCGGCAGGTGTCGTCCCGTTCCCAATCCGTTTCTATGACACTTGCTCCACCGGCCGCATCTGCACGTCACCGATCTACAGAGAGAGAGAGCAATGCGTTCATTCAATCAGACAAATGTAATACAGATCGATCAGCAGGTGATGAGTGTGATAGTGCTGTGATTTCATTTGTCTGTCTCCCCGCTGTCTGAAAATCAGCACAAAATGATCGGACAGGATATTAGTCTACTTACATCATAACAGATCACCTAGACTACTTGAAAACTTAAAGTTAAGCCAAAAATTAATATGTATACTCACCCTCAGGCCATTCAAGATGTAGAAGAGTTTGTTTCTTCATCAGATTTGGAGAAATGTA